CCCTTCTTTCTCTCTCACACACAGTCTGCCATCATCGGAGGAAGGTTCACTCCCAGCACTTTCCTCTTCTTTCTCTCTCACACACAGTCTGCCATCTCGGAGGAAGGTTCCTCCCAGCACAGCACTCTTCTTTCTCTCTCACACACAGTCTGCCATCTCGGAGGAAGGTTCACTCCCAGCACTTTCCTCTTCTTTCTCTCTCACACACAGTCTGCCATCTCGGAGGAAGGTTCACTCCCAGCACTTTCCTCTTCTTTCTCTCTCACACACAGTCTGCCATCTCGGAGGAAGGTTCACTCCCAGCACTTTCCTCTTCTTTCTCTCTCTCTCCACACAGTCTGCCATCTCGGAGGAAGGTTCACTCCCAGCACTTTCCTCTTCTTTCTCTCTCACACACAGTCTGCCATCTCGGAGGAAGGTTCACTCCCAGCACTTTCCTCTTCTTTCTCTCTCACATACAGTCTGCCATCTCGGAGGAAGGTTCACTCCCAGCACTTTCCTCTTCTTTCTCTCTCACACACAGTCTGCCATCGCGGAGGAAGGAGGAAGGAGGAAGGAGGAAAGTTACAGTCGGACATGTCCAGACGTGGACTGATCAATTTTAATAGATGACACCAACAATACTTAGCTCTAGACGTAAACACACAAAATATAGAAAATATATATCCTTTACGAATATGTGGTAGTTTTACCCACGGGGGGGAAGTACCCCCTGGGACTAGGTCGTGCAAGTAAATTAGACTTGCTAGGTGTAGACTTGCTAGATTTGCTAGGTGTCAAAATGAGATGTGTTTGGGACAGAAAAGTGCTACTTCCGTGAAACCAGAAGCCTGACGTATCCTGTTCTCCTATCGCCACAACATGAAGTAGACGCATCCTGTATGTGATTATTCCAGAAATTGCCCAATTGAGAGTATATATTCTATTATTGGAAAAGGAACTCTATTTGAGGAACCTATGTAAGTATACAATGACTTTTTGCGAAGAAATATCGTATGTATTTTCGTTATATCCCCCCTTAAGCAAGCTGTCTGGATGGCTGGGGTTCAGATACGTTTCACTGCCCCTCAAAGGTTGTTTTGGGGAAAATGGGAACTTTGGTGTACTTGATGATTCACTGACTCACCCCAAACCCAAGACTCACTCACTGGTACGAAGCTGAATGTGAAAGCGCACGTACAACAACGCGTGCGCGGTTGAGCGTGTTCCACGCCTGGATCAGTAGCGCTGACAGACAGATGTACATTGCAGTCTGGAGGCACCATAAACTGTTATGTAAGCAGAGAGCCCAAGCTAATTAAAAACTTTCATGGAAAAAACGAATGAATCGTTAAAGCAACATGACAGTGGAACATTTTGGTCTCTTGTGTCAAGAAAGTCAATGACCTTTTGCAAAACTACAGCATAAATGACTGAATTCATCACTTTAAAGGTTTGTTTCAGGAACGCAAATTTGGTGAGTGAGTGAGTTTAGTTTTACGTCGCTTTTAGCAATATTCCAACAATATCACGGCGGGGGACACCTGAAATGGGCTTCACACATTGTACCCATTTGGGGATTCGAATCCGGGTCTTCGGCGTGACGAGCTTTAACCACTAGGCTACCCCATGGCTCCTCAGGAAAGCAAAAACTGTGTACACTTTATTGAATTCTATAAATTTGTCGTTGGCTTTGTTGATTCAATTGACGAGGATTTTATCAAGATGACAACTGATGGCGATGATGAACTGTCACTCTAAATGAAGCGTTGTTAGCCACTGTCTCTATGAAATTCCATAGGATTGTTTAATCACATAGGGTTGCTGCATTGGAATGTACTGACATGGTACTAAAGTTATATATTAACAATAATAGGTCATCTTCTATAATGCACAGTCTCCAAACACCAAGTGATTGCTCGCGGCGCTTAATCAGAATCCGATTCTTATTACCACGGATAACCCAAGCTGCCTGTTAGGCGCTAGAAGGTTATAGTTACATGATTTTATCCAACCGAGTACCCATTTTCTGCTGGGTGAACAGAGGCATTTTTGAACAAACTCACTTGCCTGAGGTGAGACCACATGTATCACATCTGCTTCGTTGTGGGTCAGGACTGAAGTCCTAGAAACTCTTAGGAGTCAAGCTGCCAAACGGTCACCCATCCAAGGACTGTCTGAGCTCGACGTTGCTAAACTTCAACTGATTCGTGACCTGAGCTCTGTGCACAGGACCACACGCCGCCATAATGTTCTGTTATCCACTGATATTTACCTTGAAAAACTGACTTCTGATGCTTTACGATGGTAGAGGTAAAAATAACTGGGCCTCTAGTGTCTTCATACTTCAGTTACTCATTACTCCTATGTTAAATCAATCATTATTACGTAAACTATCTTCTAGGCATTAATGTTAAGACATTCCGAACAGCACTATCTCGTGTAAGATGAAGTTCTCAAGATCTTCCAACAGAAAAAGGTAGACATTTAGAGATATCACAGGAAAACCGAGTGTGTAAATATTGTACTTATCCAGAAGGTAGAAGATTAATACCATGTCTTGCTTGTTTGTCCATTGTTTACGAATATCAGAAAAGAATACATAAAGAAATATATCGATTGTACTCCAGAATAGACAAATTCTATACCCTCATGTCTTCCCAATATTAAACAGTCCCAAAATACCTTGCAATGTATATATGCCATGCAATGAATGTCAGATCCTCTGCATTACCGATGTGATATTATTTATGATATATTTATTTCTATTGCGCCCCCTGCTACTGTATGTAGAAGTGTTCTATAGGCCTATGGCCTTTTCAGTACTGTAAATAACGACTGATTGATTGACTCCTGTTTACAAGAAGGGCAGTGTAAATGAAGCCAGTAACTATTGGCCTATTGCTCTTGTTGGTGAGGCTGGTAAGGTCGTTGCTAATATAATAAGCAACAGGCTCTCGGTGTGGTCTACAGAGGAGAATGTGAGTGTAAAGGAACGGGCAAGTTTCCGTAAAGGATTTCAAACTACTGATAATATATCCATTATTGACACCCTCATTCAGAAATACTTGTCGCAGAAGCGTGGTACGTTTTATTGTGGCTTTATTGATTTGAAAGCTGCCTTTGATTCAGTCTATCATAAAGGTTTATTACTTAAGCTCTGGAATGGTGGTGTTAAATGAAATGTGTTTAGAATTATTATAAATATTTATCAAAGTATCCAGTCATGTGTATCACTTTCTGGTGGTTACTCCAGCTTGTTCCAGTGGAGTACGGGAGTAAGACAGGGCTGTCACATGTCCTCGCTGCTGTCTTCTCTTTTCATCAATGACCTTGTCGAGCATATCAAATCATGAGTTATTAACCGAATCGGGCAGGAGGTAGAATATTTCTAGATCAGAAAGATTACGCCCATTCTGTATTGTCTCAACCATTGAATCCCAATACCATCTGTGTTTAAAGTGCCCATTTTATAATAACTTATGATATACACTTCTTCCAAAATATCACTGGAAATATCCAACTTCGGACAAGATGAGAACATTATTTCTCTCGAAAGGTGTAATCTTAAAAATAATCTCTGTAAATTTCTCTTTTTAGCAGTCAAGAAAAGACAAATTGTCTTTAATAAAGATGTCCCTCTTAGATATACATTTCTTATGCATTTATTTTGTAAAAGCTGTTATTCATGTATAAATGCAAAAATAATTGTTAGCCATCTTTTCAAGCTCAACAAATATCTGCATCATGGGTCACTGGCCCCATTGCGAAATAAACACTCACTCACTCACTCACTCACTCTCTCACATACGATCGATGACCGAGTCGGACTGGTGTCGACTCTTTGAAACCTGTTTACAACCGTAAACAAAGACATCTATCGATTCCTGCCACCGCATAGACTGATGGAAAATATGGCAGTTTCTTTCTGTGTTCCATACCCAAGGGTATAAAAATCATTATACGACATGGCTGAGAGGACGTATCGTGGGTATCTAATACCGCTGTGTGGTCGTACCACTGATCTCGTCTAACATGTTCTAAACATAACCTTAATTTCATTGGTCAATTATTGGTCTCTGCATGTATCTAAACAGGATCTACGCAATATGTCGTGTTTATATAGACATAAGTATTGATCACAGATATCGATTATTTCCTCTTGAACTGAGTACAGTTGATGCTGCCATGGCAACTTGCCATAAAGAGTCGTCCATGACGGTCCTGTCCCACAGTGGAATAATGTGACAGACAGACCTTAAAGTGATCAGTTGTACATGACACTGACTGAGGTGTATCACGTGTAACGCTGGACCATGTGAGTTTAAGAGACCTTCAGATCAAGGTGTATCACGTGTAACGCTGGACCATGTGAGATAAAGAGACCTTCAGATCAAGGTGTATCACGTGTAACGCTGGACCATGTGTGTTTAAGAGACCTTCAGATCAAGGTGTATCACGTGTAACGCTGGACCATGTGTGTTTAAGAGACCTTCAGATCAAGGTGTATCACGTGTAACGCTGGACCATGTGTGTTTAAGAGACCTTCAGATCAAGGTGTATCACGTGTAACGCTGGACCATGTGTGTTTAAGAGACCTTCAAATCAAGGTGTATCACGTGTAATGCTGGATCATGTGTGTTTAAGAAACCTTCAGGTTCAGGCGCATCACGTGTAATGCTGAACCATGTGTGTTTAAGAAACCTTCAGATCAAGGTGTTTCACGTGTAACGTTGGACCATGTGCGTTTAAGAGACCTTCAGATCAAGGTGTATCACGTGTAACGCTGGACCATGTGTGTTTAAGAGACCTTATGATCAAGGTGTATCACGTGTAACGCTGGACCATGTGTGTTTAAGAGACCTTCAGGTTCAGGCGCATCACGTGTAATGCTGAACCATGAGTGTTTAAGAAACCTTCAGATCAAGGTGTTTCACGTGTAACGTTGGACCATGTGTGTTTAAGAGACCTTCAGATCAAGGTGTATCACGTGTAACGCTGGACCATGTGTGTTTAAGAGACCTTATGATCAAGGTGTATCACGTGTAACGCTGGACCATGTGTGTTTAAGAGACTTTCAGGTTCAGGCGCATCACGTGTAATGCTGAACCATGTGTATTTAAGAGACCTTCATATCAAGGTGTATCACGTGTAACGCTGGACCATGTGTGTTTAAGAGACCTTCATATCAAGGTGTATCACATGTACCACTGGACCATGTGTGTTTCCGAGACCTTCAGATCGAGATGGACAGGGTCCTGCAGAGTAAACGTCATGCTTCGTTTGGACACGTTGTGATGGTTCTGACCGAGGGGCCACCGTCTCTCACATCTTGGTCACCCCGGTAACGACTGTGAGTAGTTCAGATCCATCTACCATTGCTAACGTAGGTCCTCCAGAGGACTGTGAGTAGTTCAGATCCATCTACCATTGTTAATGTAGGTCCTCCTGTAGGACCGTGAGTAGTTCAGATCTATCTACCATTGTTAATGTAGATCCTCCTGTAGGACTGTGAGTAGTTCATATCCATCTACCATTGTTAATTTAGATCCTCCAGAGATCTGTGAGTAGTTCAGATCCATCTACCATTGTTAATGTAGGTCCTCCTGTAGGACCGTGAGTAGTTCATATCCATCTACCATTGTTAATGTAGGTCCTCCAGAGGACTGTGAGTAGTTCAGATCCATCTACCATTGTTAATGTAGGTCCTCCTGTAGGACTGTCAGCAGTTCAGATCCATCTACCATTGTTAATGTAGGTCCTCCTGTAGGACTGTCAGTAGTTCAGATCCATCTACCATTGTTAATGTAGGTCCTCCTGTAGGACTGTCAGCAGTTCAGATCCATCTACCATTGTTAATGTAGGTCCTGCTGTAGGACCGTGAGTAGTTCAGATCCATCTACCATTGTTAATGTAGGTCCTCCAGAGGACTGTAAGAAGTTCACATCCATCTACCATTGTTAATGTAGGTCCTCCTGTAGGACCGTGAGTAGTTCAGATCCATCTACCATTGTTAATGTAGGTCCTCCTGTATGTCCGTGAGTAGTTCAGATCCATCTACCATTGTTAACGTAGGTCCTCCTGTAGGACCGTGAGTAGTTCAGATCCATCTACCATTGTTGAGTAGTATAGATCCATACCATTCTTAATGTAAGACCTGCTGTAGGACCGTGAGTAGTTCAGATCCATCTACCATTGTTAATGTAGGTCCTCCTGTAGGACTCTGAAGATCCATCTACCATTGTAAATGTATGTCCTCCAGCGGACTGTGAGCAGTTCAGATCAATCTACCATTGTTAATGTAGGTCCTCCTGTAGGACTGTCAGTAGTTCAGATCCATGTACCACTGTTAATGTAGGTCCTCCTGTAGGACTGTGAGTAGTTCAGATCCATCTACCATTGTTAATATAGGTCCTCCAGAGATCTGAGAGCAGTTCAGATCCATCAACCATTGTTAATGTAGGTCCTCCTGAAGGACTGTCAGTAGTTCAGATCCATCTTCCATTGTTAACATAGGTCCTCCTGTAGGCCTGTCAGCAGTGCAGATCCATCTACTATTGTTAATGTAGGTCCTGCTGTAGGACTGGCAGCAGTTCAGATCAATCTACCATTGTTAACGTAGGTCCTGCTGCGCGAATGTGAGTAGTTCAGATCCATCTACCATTGTTAATGTAGGTCCTGCTGTAGCACCGTGAGTAGTTCAGATCCATCTACCATTGTTAACGCAGGTCCTGCTGCACGAATGTGAGTAGTTCAGATCCATCTACCATTGTTAATATAGGTCCCACTGTAGGACTGTGAGTAGTTCAGATCCATCTACTATTGTTAATGTAAGTCCTCCCGTAGGAGTGTCAGTAGTTCAGATCCATCTACTATTGTTAATGTAAGTCCTGCTGTAGGACCGTGAGTAGTTCAGATCCATCTACCATTGTTAATATAGGTCCTCCAGAGATCTGAGAGCAGTTCAGATCCATCAACCATTGTTAATGTAGGTCCTCCTGAAGGACTGTCAGTAGTTCAGATCCATCTACCATTGTTAACGTAGGTCCTCCTGTAGGCCTGTCAGCAGTGCAGATCCATCTACCATTGTTAATGCAGGTCCTCCTGTAGGACTGTCAGAGTTCAGATCCATCTACCATTGTTAACGTAGGTCCTGCTGCACGAATGTGAGTAGTTCAGATCCATCTACCATTGTTAATGTAGGTCGTGCTGTAGGACTGTCAGTAGTTCAGATCCATCTACCATTGTTAATGTAGGTCCTGCTGCACGAATGTGAGTAGTTCAGATCCATCTACCATTGTTAATGTAGGTCCCACTGTAGGACTGTGAGTAGTTCAGATCCATCTACTATTGTTAATGTAAGTCCTCCTGTAGGACTGTCAGTAGTTCAGATCCATCTACTATTGTTAATGTAAGTCCTGCTGTAGGACCGTGAGTAGTTCAGATCCATCTACCATTGTTAATGTAGGTCCTGCTGTAGGACTGTCAGTAGTTCAGATCCATCCCATTGTTAATGTAGGTCCTGCTGTAGGACTGTCAGCAGTTCAGATCCGTCTACCATTGTTAACGTAGGTCCTGCTGTAGGACAGTGAGTAGTTTTAGATCCATCTGCCATTGTTAATGTAGGTCCTCCTGTAGGACCGTGAGTAGTTCAGATCCATCTACCATTGTTAATGTAGGTCCTGCTGTAGGACTGTCAGCAGTTCAGATCCATCTACCATTGTTAATGTAGGTCCTGCTGTAGGACCGTGAGTAGTTCAGATCGATCTACCATTGTTAATGTAGGTCCTGCTGTAGGACTGTGAGTAGTTCAGATCAATGTGCCATTGTTAATGTAGGTCCTCCAGAGTACTGTGAGTAGTTCAGATGCATCTACCACTGTTAACGTAGGTCCTGCTGCACGAATGGGAGTAGTTCAGATCCATCTACCATTGTTAATGTAGGTCCTGCTGTAGGACTGTCAGTAGTTCAGATTCATCTACCATTGTTAACGTAGGTCCTGCTGTAGGACTGTGAGTAGTTCAGATCCATCTACTATTGTTAATGTAGGTCCTCCTGTAGGACTGTCAGTAGTTCAGATCCATCTACTATTGTTAATGTAAGTCCTCCTGTAGGACCGTGAGTCGTTCAGATCCATCTACCATTGTTAACGTAGGTCCTGCTGTAGGACTGTCAGTAGTTCAGATCCATGTACCACTGTTAATGTAGGTCCTCCTGTAGGACTGTCAGCAGTTCAGATCCATCTACCATTGTTAACGTAGGTCCTCCTGTAGGACTGTCAGTAGTTCAGATCAATCTACCATTGTTAACGTAGGTCCTGCTGCGCGAATGTGAGTAGTTCAGATCCATCTACCATTGTTAATGTAGGTCCTGCTATAGGACCGTGAGTAGTTCAGATCCATCTACCATTGTTAACGCAGGTCCTGCTGCACGAATGTGAGTAGGTCAGGTCCATCTACTATTGTTAATGTAAGTCCTGCTGTAGGACCGTGAGTAGTTCAGATCCATCTACCATTGTTAATGTAGGTCCTGCTGTAGGACTGTCAGTAGTTCAGATCCATGTACCACTGTTAATGTAGGTCCTGCTGTAGGACCGTGAGTAGTTCAGATCCATCTACCATTGTTAATGTAGCTCCTGCTGTAGGACTGTGAGTAGTTCAAATCCATCTACTATTGTTAATGTAAGTCCTCCTGTAGGACCGTGAGTAGTTCAGATCCATCTACCATTGTTTATGTAGGTCCTGCTGTAGGACTGTCAGTAGTTCAGATCCATGTACCACTGTTAATGTAAGTCCTCCTGTAGGACTGTCAGTAGTTCAGATCCATCTACTATTGTTAATGTAAGTCCTCCTGTAGGACCGTGAGTAGTTCAGATCCATCTACCATTGTTAACGTAGGTCCTGCTGTAGGACTGTCAGCAGTTCAGATCCATCTACCATTGTTAACGTAGGTCCTCCTGTAGGACTCTCAGCAGTTCAGATCCATCTACCATTGTTAACGTAGGTCCTCCAGAGGACTGCCCTGACTGTTGGTGGCATGGAACGGATGGCCTGGCTCCGTCACTTTACCCCTACCTAGTATCTTATGGTTCTTCCCTGTTATGATTGTGGATCAGAATATGTCCTCAATACCTGTTAAAAAGCTTTTCCTGGAATAATCTGTTGGCCAGGTTATCCAAACCGGCTGATTGTGTGCAACTCAGTCTCGTTACACGTCTTACCAGATGTCTGAATCAGTGGGTAAGATACCTTGTTATTCCCATGTTTTCCCTAATATCTCCTTTGCATATCTTGTTATCCCTATGTTATTCTCGCATTATTACCACGCATTATCCCTTTACACTCATATTATCCCTTGTTATCCTAGTATTGTTATCCCATTGTTAACCCTGTTATCCTCGTATTATCCCCGTGATATCCTCATATTACCTTGTTATCCCCGCATTATCCCCATGTTACGTATTACTCATATTATCCCCGTTATCCTAGTATTAGAACCGTGTTATCCCATTGTTAACCCTGTTATCCTCGTATTATCACCGTGGTATTTCCATGTTGCCCGTTATCCCCGTATTATCCTCTTGTTATACCCGTATTATCCCAATGTTATTCCGTATTATCCCCTTGTTATACCCGTATTAACCCATGTTATCCCCTTGTTATACCCGTATTATCCCCTTGTTATCCACATGTTATCACTGTGTTACCACCGTGTCGTCAGCTTGCTATACCTGTACTGCCGTGCCATTATCAGCATATAACACATACCACCACACCTGGATCCAGCCAACACTGTACACACTCTACGGTGTAATAATGCATTATTCTTCTCAAACATACACCAGGGTTTCGTTGTTCAAAGCAACCTTAGAGACGCTAAGGTTGGGTCGGGCCAACCTTAGTTATCAACCTTAACTTAAGGTTAACCTTAGTTAAGGTTGTTTCATGCAACGGGAGGCTAACCTTAGTAAAGGTCTAAGGCTGTAATCTTAGAGATAAGGTTGACTTTAGAGATAAGGTTGTTTTGAACAACGGAGCCCTGGCCCCGTCATACATGTTCGCCTTCTCTCTTGTACACCCAACGGAATGTTCCGGAAGGCCGATTACTGTCTGGCGTTGTCATATAATATCTGATCCTAGAACAGAGTGAGGCATTCATCTCGAAACTTTTGTTTTTAAATGTTCATGAGTATCTGTCGGTGCCCAGGACAGCGTACCACAGCGGTGAGGCTGCTTGTTCTAAAGACACGAACAATGTGTGAAATAGAGCATACTAAACGAGTACTACCATTTTTATTAAATGAATTAAAGCGAAAGCCATTAATTTAAATGGCATTTCACGGAAGCGAGTTTA